TCGCCCGACGGGAGCGGGAGGACCCCGGGTGAGATCCTGTCCGCCCCGTGCCCGCCCCCCGCGGGAAAGACTCGGCTGCGCGTCGGGCGCGCCGCGTCGCGGGCGCGAGCTGGAAGGCGAAATTCCCCCCGAGCGCCGCCGCGCTGCCCGCGGCGCCCATGGCCTGGATAGACGGGTTGATGCTGCCGAGCACTTGCAGGCCCTGTCCAGAGCCCGCGGCAGTGGGCGCGGAGGTGAAGGGCATCTGCGAATGGGGCAAATTCGTGGCCATGGCGGTTGAGTCGATACTGTTTTCCGACTGCTTTCCGACATGGCAGAGAACGCGTTTCACGGGCGCCTGCCTCGGGAACATTCGGCGGCGCGTTTCGAACCGGGGGGTGGGCTCCGCCCCCCAACACCCAACGCCGTCGATCAAAACCCGGGGGGCCCCTCTCCCCCCCTTCCCGACCCCCCCCCGTCCCAGGGGGAGGGGGTTGAACCCCGCCCCAGCGCCTGCGCTGGCGGCCGCCAGCAGCGCCGACGGCGGGGACGCAGCAACGATGACCAGAGGCAGCCCAATGGGAGGGGGAGGGGTGCAACCCCCTCCCCCCTCGAGCGCAAGTGGGGGGGGGGCTCCAAACCCCCCCCCTTGGCGCCGGCGCTGGCGGCGGCCAGCAGCGCCGGCGCTGGCGCCGACGGCGGGGACGCAGCGACGATTACCACCGCCACCACCACCACCACCGCCACCACTACCACCACCACCGCCGCCTCAGCCCACCACCACCACCACCACCCACCCACCACGCAACCGCCACCACCACCACCACCACCACCACCACAGCCACCACCACCACAACCACCACCACAACTCACCATCACCGCCAACACCACCACCACAAAAACCCACCACCACTACCACCACCACCGCAATCTACCACACCACCACCGCCGCCGCCACAACCACCACCACTACTAGCAGCACGACCCGCCGCCACCACAAACCACCACACCACCACCACCACCGCCACCACCACCAGCCCACCAGCACCACGTCCACAAACCACCGCCACCACCACAACCCACCACCACCACCGCAAACCACCACCACAAACCACCACCACACCACCACAACCACCACCACAACTCACCATCACCGCCAACACCACCACCACAAAAACCCACCACCACTACCACCACCACCGCAATCTACCACACCACCACCGCCGCCGCCACAACCACCACCACTACTAGCAGCACGACCCGCCGCCACCACAAACCACCACACCACCGCCACCACCGCCACCACCACCAGCCCACCAGCACCACGTCCACAAACCACCGCCACCACCACAACCCACCACCACCACCACCACAAACCACCACCACACCACCACAACCACCACCACCACAACTCACCATCCCCACCACCACCACCACCACAAAAACCCACCACCACTACCACCACCACCGCAATCTACCACACCAGCACCACCACCCCCACCGACACCAGCACCACCACTACTAGCAGCACAACCCACGGCCACCACCACAAACCACCACCATACCGCCACCACCACCGCCACCACCACCACCACCAGCACCACCTCCACAAACCACCACCAAACCACCACAACCCACCACCACCACAAACCACCATCAAACCACCATCAAACCACCACACCACCACCACCACAACCACCACCACCACCACCACCACCACCACCACCACCACACAACCACCACCACCACCCCACCACCACCACCACCTTCCACCACCACCACCCATCACCACAGCCACCATCACCACAACAAACCACCACACCACCACCACCACAAACAGCACCACCACCACCGCCACCACCACCACCACCACCACCACAACCCACCACCACCACCACCACCACCACCGTCGTCCTCGTCGACGCTCCCCGCCGCCGCCCGCCGCCGCAGGCGCTGGCGCCGGCCCAGAAAAAAAAATCGTCGTCCCCGCCTGCCCCCCACGCATGCGCCAGCCCGAGGAGAGGGGAAGCAGGGGAAGGAGGGAACGGGGGGAGATGTTCGAACCCCCCCACCCCCGTCATGGGAGGGGAACGGGGGGGGGTCGAACCCCCCCCTTCCCTCACGGGAGGGGGGGGGGCTTCGAACACCCCTCCTTCCATCCAGGGGGAGGGGGGGGGGGTCCGGTTTCACCCCCCCCCCTCCAAGCGACCACAGAACGCGCTCTTTCCGACATCGGCGTTGCGATGGCAGCGCGCGCCTTCGCCGCCTCGGATTGGGTGGCATCGACCTCCGATCCTGACGGGCGTCTGCGAAAGGTCTCGACCTGAGCCTCCGCCTCCACGAACGCGCCTCTCTCCTTGGTCTTGCTGGTCAGCCTGTCCTGAGCAATGCGCGGGGCCTCGTCTGGCGGGCGCGAGCGCATCTCATGCGCTTCCATAGTGGCCGCCTCCCTGGGCGCCGCGACGAGCAGGGGGCGGTTTTCATGATGCTTGAGCTTCTAAAGAGCGGCAAGGCCGCGCCTGGCACGCGCCGCGGCTGCGCGCCTCTGAGCCGCAACGAAGGATCAGCCTCCCAGCGCTAGCACATGCGCAGTGAATTCCTTCCGTGCTGGCAAAAGTTGGATGTCCAAGACTGCACGCACTCACAAAGACACACGGACGCATAGACACACACACACATACACACACACACGCACAAACACACACACACACACACACACTCACGCCCACAAGCCCGGAAGCCGCCCCTACGCGGGAGGCGCGGGGGAGCCTCGGCTCTGGTCCCTCAGATGTACGTCAGCACGGCGTCGACCCACCTCTTCTTCGGTCTCTGTGCTCGTCGCGTCAGCCCAAAAGGTTCGAATGCGAAGGCACGGTGAGCCCAGCCGTCTTTCGCCTCTTGCATCTTTCTGTACCGTTGAACTGCAGCACGCTTGTGGCTCCCACTCCAATCACGAACGTGTAATCGACGGCATCTTTCTTCGACCTCGCGAGTGGCCCTCTAACACCAGTCTGCCCATGGCTCCAAGACGGGATCACAATGAAACGCTGGATCATGCGATGACGCGGCCACCGGCCGGCGACGACTACCGTAGATCATGCGCAGCATCTTCCGCTGCACCCGGATTAACTTGTCAGTCAACTCCTGCGTCAACACCCACGTTGCACTGCCGTACAGGAAAACGTTGGACACCGTGGCGTCAAAAAGCTTCAGACGAACATTCAGAGAAGTCGTATTATTCACCAATTCTGCTCCCTGCGCCATAAAACTCTTCCATGACTTGCTGATCCGGTGATCAACTTCAACATCATGTGGTTGATCAAAGCAGAATTGCCTTCCCAAGTACTTCGCTTTCTCCTCGTACGGAACAATCTCGATGTTCAAAACGCCCACTTGCACGTGCGGTTTTCTCGGGCGCCCAGTGCCTTTGGTTGCGTTTGTCAAGATATTCGTTTTCTCTGGGTGGAGTATCAACCCGCGTTTTTGTGCTGCCTTACGTAGATCGGCTATCATAATCTTCAGTTGTCGAAGCGACGCCCCAATGAGCAGGACGTCGTCTGCGAAGCGTAGGTTGGTAAGCTGTCGGTGCTTGCTGAAACCCATTCGTAATCACCAAGAGTTGTTTTCCCCAGCCGGTTTGACCTCAGCAAAGAGCCGGTTTTCCAAGATTGCATGCGCACTGCCAAACTCAGTGACATAGTGTCTTGGGGGCTCGGCAGCATCGCGGACAGATAGCGTCAACTGGCTCCACAACTCCTCCTCTCCGTCCTCCTCTCCCTCCTCCTCCTCCACCCTCATCCTCCTCCTCCTCCTCCTCATCATCCTCCTCATCATCACTACAAGAATCGTCGTAGTCCTCATTATCGCCATCACCACCTCCATCAACATCATCACCATCACGATCAATATTACCATCGGCACCCTCATCACCAACATCAACACCACCATCACCATCATCAACATCATCAACATCATCATCGTTACCGTGATCCTCCTCACCACCATCCTCCACAGATGCTCCATATGACGACTACTTTCATCTCCTTTCAGCAAGCACCGAGATGTTGTGAGAGCGGGCCCCCTTTTCTCCAGACAATTTTTCTTTACCGCACACAAGTTCAGCACATGCTGATGTATATGTTTGGTGCTTCGATCGGAGAGTTTTTGTTTGGTGCTTCACATGATGTTCCTGCCGCAGCGTTGGCCCCACTGTGAGGGTCGGCGTTTCGCCCCCGTCGCTCGGAATGGCGCTCTCGCCCCCATCCCCTCCTCCGCCTTTCCCTGGTCCTCTCCTCCTGCCCATCCTTCTGCTCATCCGCCACCTCCTGTTCCTCCTCCACCTCCTCCAACGTACATAGCTCCCTCTGTCTGTTCGCGCATAACACGATGGAACCAGTTTAGGAGTTCTATCTCTGCTGTGGCACCCGTCGGTGGATAGAGAACAGTCGGCGCAATGGCCCAAAGATGGGTGGGGCGGTGGGGGGGGGGAAGTCAAATATGGCGCGAGCGAACCTACCTTGTCTTCCTCCTCTCTCATCTCTCCTGACCTTTCTCTGCCGCCTCTTCCTCCTCCTCCTCCTCCTCCTCCGTCTCCTTCTCCTCCTCCTCCTCCTCCACCTTCTGTTCTCCCGCTCCTCCAGATCACCGCCGCCATGTCCTCGTCCCCGCCCTCGTTGTCGTCGTCATCGTCCTCCTCCTCCTCCTCCTCCTCCTCCTCCTCCTCCTCCTCCCCCTCCTCGCTCTCCTCGTCCTTCTCATTCACTGGGGGAACAGCAAAAACAGAAACATCAATTTTCGGAGGTCTGGGCAGACTTCTTGGATCGGCGCTGGACCCCCCCCAGCGCCTGGAGCGCGCCAAGGGCTGCGTCGGAGGCGCCGCCAGTGTTGTTCTGCGCAGATCCAAGCAATCTTCGCGGAACGCCGAAAGCTTCTGTTCATGTCTCTTTCTCTTCTTTCTCTCATTCGATTCTCCCGCCGCCTGTTCCCTCCGACCAGCACCAGCCCGACCCGTTAGTGCGGGCCTCCCCTTCCTCGTTCATGACGCCGCACCAGGCGAAGTCGGCGGTCGAGTGCATTCCGTCGACGCCGCCCTATGGAGGAGGAGTAGGAGGAGGAGGAGGAGGAGGAGTAGGAGGAGGAGGAGGGGGAGGAGGAGAGGAGGAGGAGGAGGAGGAGGGGAGCGCCGAGGAGGGGAGGGGAGGGGGAGGACGAGGAGGGGGAGGAGGAGGGGAGGAGGGGAGGAGAATGGCGAGGGAGGAGGAGGAGGAGAAGGAGGAGGAGGAGGAGGAGGAGGAGGAGGAGGAGGAGGAGGACGAGGAGGAAGAAGAGGACGACCGTCGGACGAGGACGAGGAGGGGAGCGCCGATCTCGAGGGCTGGGTGCCGCCCACCTCCTCGCGCTGCCACAGAAAATCACGGCAAGATGTTTTTGGCCATTTTCGGCCTCGGGGGCCCTCGCCAGGCCCTGGGAACGTTAGAACACTGTCAAGGATGAAAACCCGATCTTCGGGAAGGGGTCCAGACCTCCACGGGACCATGCTTAGGACGATGATGATGCCAAGATGCGATTGGTTCAGGATATATCCCTGGAATTTTGCAGCTTCTTGTGGTCCTTGTTTCTGCAGCACATGTGTAAGAAATCTGGAGAATCCTGGACCTATTGAAACGTATCATTCTCGTGACCTCTTGCTCTGAACGTTGTGAAGAAAAAACATCGGCGTCGGAGTTCCATGGTGAGCGAAATGGAGACGAGCGTGGCATGTGGCTGTCAGGGGAAGGACGGCGGGGAACAGGGGCGAGAGGGAGGGCAGGAGAGGGAGGGATGGGAAGGGGCGAAGGAGGAGGGACGGAGCGAAGATGGCCAGAAAATCAACAAGAGTTCGTCGAAAAATCTACAAACCTTGGAAGCAGATGTCCGCAGCCTCAGCCTTGCGACGGAGGAGGCGACGCCTCGGTCGAGGCCTCCTAGATGGGGTTCGAATAGATGGGATCGGAGGATTGCACCGAATCGCCGATGTCTCGCCGACGCATCGCCGATGCATCGGCGATGCACTGTCGATGTCGGCGATGCATCGGCGACGTCGGCGTGGAGAAGATCCGGCTTCACATCGAGCCGCATCGCCGATGGCGATGCGGCGCGAGCCTCCGACCCCATCTACTCGGACCCCATCTGGGAGCCCTGGACTCGGAAAGGTTCAAGTTCACTTGCACGCTGAAAGCGAAGCGTGCAACACGAATCCTTCATGTCGTAAGCGGAGCGCGCAACACAAGGAGGAAGGAGGTTTGGGGGCCTCTCGTGGCGACTCCGAGGCCCTCCTGGGGCGCTCTTCGTCCGCCTTGGGCAAACAGCGGGGGCCTCTAGCGAGCGATGGAGAAGCTTACAGCCAACTTGCCGCCTGCTCTACCCCCACGTTTCCCCTCTCTCACAAGCGGCGAACGTACCCACATCCGCACCCTCGCGGCCTGGATTCCGGGGCGCGATACCGTGGATACGCGGTCGCATGGATGCGTTCCCCGCGGAAAAAAAAAGTTTCCTCGGGGTCGCGGTCCAGGGCCCCGTCTCGTGAGGCCGTGGATGCGGATATGTTCTCCGCCCACGACTCTCTTCCCTCCTGCCCTCCCATCCCACAGCCCTAGTCGGCATGGGAAGATTTTGCAGCCGGACCTGCTCGCCCGAGCTAGTTCTCTCGAGCCGCATCGCTGCGCCCGGCGGGCCAATTCCAGGCGGACGCTAACAGGCGGTGCCTCTTCCTTCTCCCGCCTCCCTCCCAGCCTCCTGCCTCCCGCCTCCGGCCTCCCGCCTCAACCCCCTTCCTCCTCCTCTTCCTCCTCCTCCTCCTCCTGCTCCTCCTCCTCCCCTGTAACCATTTTGGCTCAAGATGCTTTGCTCCTCAGGGGAACGCGTGGATACCGCTAGCCCGCGGCAGGCAAAACTGTTCAGTCTGGCACTCGGCGCGCTGCGATGGCCCCTCCTCCGCGTGGTGGTGGCGCTGCAAGCGGCGGCTGTGGCAGCAATGGCGGCCAGGGTGCCAGGGCGGGTGGATGGCGCTGTCCCTCGTGCGGCTACAGGAGGTTGGTATGGCGCGTGTAGTGTCGGCAGCCCGGCTGTTGTGCGTACTGCCCCACGGCTGCACTGGTGCTCCCTCCTCGTGATGGTGTCGGTGGCTTTCCTGATCGCGGCCGCTGGGAGGCAGGCGCCCCTGCATGGCGGCCGTTGCAGCGGCAAAGTGGTTTTGGGCAGCCGACGAAGTCCAAGGTCAAGTCTGCTGTGGTGCAACCCCCCAAGCTGTCCGAGGAGGCGCGGGCTCGGTGCGTGCAGTTCAGCGACGAGGAACTCGAGCTGTACAGGAAGCGCGTGTGAGAGCGACTGGCAGGCCAGTCGCCAGCAGCGCTTCCCTCTCAAGCAGCACCTCGGCACTGGCTCCTCGGTCAAGCCCATCAGGAGTGCGCAGGTGGCTGCGGATGAAGCCTCCGAGCGTGTGCAGCGAGCCCAGGCTAAGCTTGCGCGCGAGCGGATGGCAGCCAACGTGGCCTTGCAGGCAGCGTGCGAGCAGCAACAGAGGGTTGACCAATGGGAGCGGTAGCTCGACGTGATCGTGGAGTAGACCAAGCGCGTCGTGGCCGACCCGCAGCTGTCGGTCAAGAGCGAGACGGAAGGCGCTGCTGCTGCACGCTACGCCGCGGACATCACCAAGTACAAGACCTTGGTGCGCACCGTGGCAGAGGTTGTGGGCGGCGTGGACCTCGACGAGCTCGCTGGCACGCTCACCGGCCTCATCACAGCCGTTAACGGCGACGTCGCCGCCTGCGAGGCAGCTGCTTCGGAGGCAACTGCACCTGGAGGTGCTGCCCCGACGTCAGGTGCTGCTCGAGCCGAATGGGCTGGTGGTGAGGAAAAAGCAGCGGGAATGACGATGAGGATCTGGCTGACCTCGACCTCTGCCCCGAAGCCATCGCGGCGGCCGCTGGGGCTTTCTGCAAGGGCGATGCGGAGAAACGGAAGTGGCTGGAAGGGTTTCGAGCGTACTGCCAAGCTGCTGGTGGGGCCGTCGAGAAGTAGGCGCATCCTGTGTAGCAGGTGGAGACTGGCCACACTCGGCATGTATTCCATGGAGTAATGCCTCATGGCGCAGATCGACACGCGCGATCTCGGGCTGCTCTAGGAGACCAGGCTCAGCAGGGCACGCACGACGGATGCTGAATGGGGAGCGTGCCGCGGGGGCTGCAGCGCAGGCGTCTCAGGGGGGCTTGGCGTCTGGTGGTCTCCTGACGTGCTCGAGGCTCGAGCACGGTCTGGCGCCGATGATTGGCTCGCGGGATCCCGTGCTTCGCCCTGGGCGAGTGCATCTGCCTCATCGCGCGGGGTTGCCTCCTGGCGGAGTCACTGCGGTGAACGTGTACCTCGAGAGCGGCGCCGGGGTCAATGACTTCAACTTTGCGGCGCTTTGCGGCTCGGCGTGCAGGCTGAAGCAGCGCGGCAGGTCGCGCGTGGCAGGTTGCGACTTCAATTGCGCCAGCGACGAGCCCTTGCAGAGCGGGGGCCGACCTGCGTGCAGTCCATGCGCGCCATCGGCCTGTTCATCGCGTCGAGGGCCCCGCACGCCCTCGCGTGCAGGCGCTCAGCGGATCGCCCGCGTGGCCGCGCAGGCCAGTGGTGCTCGAACTGGAGGCGGCCCGCCGAAGGCCCCGCATCCGCGCGATGGACCTGCCGAAGAGCTTTCCGCTGGTCTAGCCCGCGGACTGCGCGAGGCAGGCATGCGATGGGCAGTGGGCCAACGTTGGTCAGAGAGTTCAGCAGCTGCTGCGCACGGCGCCTCGGCAAGGTGCGTCGGCGGATCCAGAGGGTGGGCTTGCGGGGGCTGCTTCTAGTGGCGCTGCTCCCGAGTGGCGCGCCTTCTGGGCCTGCGGCATCCACGCCCGCTGCCGCGGGCACCTGCAGCCGTGGCCAGAGCGCGCAGCGGTCAGCGTGCTCTGTGTCGCGGCAGGGTGTGTCGAGGGCGTCGGAGGGTGGGCTTGCGGATGCTGCCCCTAATGGCGCTGCTCGCCCCACGACCGGCGCGCCTTCTTGGGCAACGGGGCCCGCGCCATCTGCCGTGGACAGATGCAGCCAGATAATTTCCTCGCGGCCTGGCTTGGAGGAGGAGATGGCGCTGGCTATGACGGTGGAATCGGCAAGAGCTGGACGTGGAGACGCTGGAGTGCCTGTCCATGGGCAAGGTGGCACTGCCGAGACGGACGCCGCGGTCGGCGGCGACTTGGCCTTCGACGCCCTGGTCGAGGTGGTTGCCGTCGTGCCCGCGGGCCCTCCGCGCGCAGGTGGTCCGCGGTTGGGGGGGCGCGCCGTCGCTGGCGGGGCGACGCGGGCGGGGCCGCGGCAGCCTGGATGGGGCGGCGCGCTGGTCAAAGCGGGGCGGGGGGCAACTCACTGAGCGCCCTATTGCCCACCCCCCAGGCCAGGGGCAGCCACGCGACCGCTCCACGTGGAGGAGTGGCGCCCAGGAGGTGTTCGAGAAGGGCCAGGGCGCTGGCGGCGAGAAGCAGCAGGCGCCGGTCAGCCGCGGCGTCGGCGAGGCGTGGAAGATGTTCCTCGGGCAGGCAAAGGACGAATGAATCGACATCTACCAGGTCGGCGCGGATGCGCAGAAGTGCCGTGGGCGAGGGCAGCAACCCAAGCCGAGGCGGGTGAGGGCGCTTCCTGTCGCTGGGGCGCGCTGGCCGAATGTCTCTGCGGAGGCGACGCGGCTGCGCGGGGCGTCGCGCGAGCTGCAGATCGTCGCCTGCGCCAGCAAGCCCCTCAGCCGCCAGCGATCGCTACGAGGTCTGCGCAGGTTGTTGGCGGCTGCGCCCAAGACCGCGAAGGGCGGGCCATGGGCTGAGCCTCGGGACCTGCCCGTCGCGAAATCGCGGTGGCAGCTCCTCGCCGGCCTGGGCGCCCACTGCATGGGTCCCTCAACCACGGTTCAGCAGCTGATCAAATGCGCCCGCGCCGATGCCGTGATGTTGGCGGCGCGTGGCGCGGCCGAGCGGAGGGTCCAGCTCCTGCGGCGGGTCGCCGAGCAAGCTGAAGGAGGCGGTGGCGGGCCCCATGCCGCGGCGACGCTGCCGATCGGCTTCGCGGAGAGCCCCGCGCAGGTCAAACACGGCGTGGAGTCGCAGATGCAGTTCCACGAGCCCGCCGACGACGGAGCCGAGGTCACCGCGCTGAAGGTGGAACGGGGCCGCTCTTGGAGACCGCCTGCGAGTAGGCGCAGGTCCAGTGGCCCTCGGGCCATTGCGTGCAACCGCCAAGACCGACGCAACAGGTCCGCAACGTACTGATGACAATTCCCACTAAAACGGAGATGTCCTTCTGCGCCGCGCGGCTCAGACAGCTCAGCGACCTCTGCGATAGCGGCGTCGCGCTGGCGGACATCATCGAGGCCGTCGAGCTGCGCGCTACGTGGCCCGAGATGACCGCGAAGGTCTGCTTCATCCAGAAGAGGCTCGGCAGCGTCAGGTCCGTTGCCCCCATCATGGCGCTGGCTAGGGTGCAGTCTCGGCTCCGACGAGATCTTGCGCGCGAGTGGGAAGCCAATAACGATCGCAGCTATTGGGGGCCTCGGCGGGGCGCAGCTGCGAGAGGGCGGTCTGGCACCAGGCCGCAGTGGGCGAGTGGAACACTCATCGTGGCAAGGACGGCGGCGACGAGAGCTGCCGGGTTGCGGTGGCCGCGCTGCTCGGCCTGCTGAAGGCGGTCGAGCAGGTGAAGCATTGCTGGTATATGGGGGCCGCCGTGCGCGCGGGCTTCCCGCCGTGGCAGCTCAGGCTGCAGGTGGAGCTGTGCTGTGCGCCGCGCGTGCTGGCCCTCGGCAGCGCGCGCTCTGGCGTCGTCGAGGCCCGCCGGGCGGCCCTGCCCGGCGACGGTTTCGCCGCGACGATGCTCCAGCCAGAGCTGATCAGTCCGCTGGACAAGTTGCTGGAGCAGCATCGCAGGTTGCAGCCCACCGCGGTCGTGGGCGACCTCGTGCCCCACAGGTTTGGCGGCGCGGCGAGGGCCGCCAGGGGACTTGCAGACGCCGCCCGCAAGCTCCAGATGGTCTTGCAGGAGGTCGACCTACACGCGGCAGTGGCCGAGTCCCGCGCGCTGTCCATTGTGCCCGACGCGAGGCGCGCCGTTGCAGCGGAGCTATGGCGGCATCTCGGCGCGACGCCGGTCAAGGACGACCGCGAACTCGGCGTCGATTTCTCGCGCGGCAGGCGGGTCGTGAAGAGGGTGCGCAATGGGGGATTTTTCAGGCAGGCTTGCGGCTATCGGGTTGCCATGTTGAATGCGGGCAAGGGGGGAACCGGGCCAGGCAGCCGGTCGCCAGGCTTGTCGCGCCTGGCGACCGGCTGCGGCTGACCTCAGCCAAATGCATGGGCGAGGGTGCGGCGATGTGGGTCTCGGCCGTCGGCGCGGTGCTGGACGGCGCGGACACGACCCACCGAGTGGCGAAGCCCAACAGAGCGGCACCGCTGGCGCGCCAGAAGGAAGGGACAGCGAAGCTCCAGTGTGATCTTCGTGGCCCACCTGGAGCGCGTTGGTGCGCCAGGTGCCGCTGGGCGGAGAGGGCGAGTGAGTGTCCTGGATCGATCGTCGGTGCGGCGGTCGAGCAAAATCGTGGGCTGCGGGAGCGAGGCGAGCTGGCGCATATGCTGGTGATGGTCAAGCCACAGTCCGACGCGCAGCTGTAAAAGGACGTGCCCGTGCTGGCCTGCCTCGTCTGCGGCGCGACGGGTGCAGCGAGGAGTTCCTCGTTCGCCCGCGCCTGCGGCGAGCCAGGGGCCAAAGGGCTGGCCATCGCCCGACTGGCCAAAGCCCCCCCCCCTTGGTATTTCTGCGAAGGTGCCCATCGCCATGGACAAGCTCGACGAGCTGCCCCTAGGCGCGAGGGGGGAAGGGGCCCCACATCCCCTCGCGGCGCCTCTAGCAACCGCCACCTGCCGCCTTGGTGCACCTCGGCGGCTACGAGCGGGTCAACTGACCCGTGTCCGAGGGCGGGGGCACGCTCGGGCGCCAGCGCAGCGCGAACGCCCGCGCTGAAGCGAGCGCATCCTCTCCTCCTCCTCCTCCTCCTCCTCCTCCTCCTCCTCCTCCTCCTCCTCCTCCTCCATCTCCACCTCCACCTCCATCTCCATCTCCATCTCCTCCTCCTTCACCCTCCCTCCCCGCCTCCGTTGCACTGTCCACCACCTGGCTGTGTTGACCTCCTGCTTTCTTGGCCCCCAATACCTCGCAACCTTGCCCCGATGCCGCCGCCAGCAACCTCCTCGCCCTATTCCCTGGGACGGGCTTTTCATCCTGGTCGCTTTGTGACGTTCCAGCGGCCTGGCGAGAAAACTCAACATAATCTCCCGTCGTGGTTCTGCTCACAACAGGCCTCGCCCCATTCCCTGGGGCCGGCTTTTCATCCTGGGTAGTTTCCTGACGGTCCCGGGGCCCAGCTCAGGCCCCCAAGGGCCGAACACAACAAAAAACCTCCCATCGTTATTATTCACAACAGCGCGAGGAAGTGGTCTTCGGACCGTAGCCCGGGCCTCTGGAGGCCGTCAGAGACGACCTGGGCACTCTCTGAACAGCCTCGGCGAGGCGCGGCCGATGGAGACCACCCTGGGCCCCAAAGATGGAAGAGCCTCCCGAGAGCAGCGACGAGTCTCCCGTCGTGCTTCCTCTCACGGCGCGAGGAGGTATGGGCTCCTCCCCCCAGCCGCTTCCCCGCGAGAGCGACTGCATGCAGCGCCGCCTCGGCGCAGATCGTGTGGACGTGCAGCCACGCCTGCGGGCGCGCCGCCCGTCGAGGCGAGGCGGGGGGCAGGCGGCGGGGTCCCCTGGAGCAGCTGGAGCTGGAGTCCCCTGGACGTAGCTCTACCGACGCATTGCGAAGACCGCTGCTGGCCTTTCCTGGCTTTACGGGCTGACTCAGCCTTGCTCTAAGCTGTGGGTCATTGCCCAAGACAAACAATGGCGCCTTGAATGCTCCTGACGAGTCGGGGTGGGGTGCGGTATATACACACAGAACGCTCGCGACAAGACGAGGAGAACGGGGGGAGGAGGCAGGAGTAAAAGATGGCCGATACATCCTCCAAGCCCGCTGAGTCTCAGAGACTCCCGACGTACCCGGATCCGATATTGTCCTCATACTGCTTTCGGCTGAGAGCCGAAGTGTCAGAGCTCCGCGCGGACCTCTTGGATCAACGCTGACCCCCCTCCCCGTCGCGCGGAGCGCGCCAAGCAATCCGCGCGGAGCTCCAACAAATCATGCTTATATCTTGCACTGTTCTCGAGGGAGGACACCAACCTCCTCCTCCTCCTCCTCCTCCTCCTCCTCCTCCTCCTCCTCCCCCCTCCTCCTCCTCCTTTTTTTCCTCCTCCTCCTCCTCCTCCTCCTCTTCCTCCTACCCCTCCTCCTCCTCCTCCTACTCCCCTCCTCCTCCTCCTTCTTTTCCTCATCCTCCTTTTCCTCCTCCTGCTCGTCCTCCTCCTCCTCCGCCTCCTTCTCCTCCTCCTCCTCCTCTTCATCATCCTCCTCCTTCCTTTCCTCCACCCTCGTCCCTCTCCTCCCCCTGTCTCTCGACGAGGCGCAGCTGCTGGAGAGCATCCCGAGGCTGGGGAGCCGCAGAGAACTAACGAAAGCGCCCGAAAACAACAAATCTTGAGCCTGTCCTGTCGTCCCCCCTGTCGCTCCACCCACAAGCAGGGAAGTCCCTCGTCGTCGTCGTCGTCGTCGTCGTCGTCGTCGTCGTCGTCGTGGTCGTCATCGTGGTCGTGGTCGTGGTCGTGGTCGTGGTCGTGGTCGTGGTCGTGGTCGTCGTCGTCGTGGTCGTGGTCGTGGTCGTGGTCGTGGTCGTCGTCGTCGTCGTCGTCGTCGTCGTCGTCGCGATCATCGTGATCGTCGTCGTCGTCGTCGTCGTCGTCGTCGTCGGCGGCGGCGGCGGCGGCGTCGGCGTCGGCGGCGTCGGCGTCGGCGTCGGTCGGCGTCGTCGTGATCGGCGTCATCGTCGCCGTTGACGCCGTTGTCGTCGCCGTCGTCGTCGTCGTCGTCGTCGTCGTCGTCGTCGTTCACGCAGGAGGGGCGCCGCGCGCTCGTGGGCGCGGGGCCTGGCTCACCTGCCACGCGGCGTGGATGCAATGCTTCACCGGGCCGTGGCCCACCCACTCCTTGGGGGGCGGCCAGGGGAGTAGGCCGGAGCGTCCATGCCCTCCTCCTGCTCCCCCTCCCCCTCCCTCCTGCTCCCCCTCTTCCTACTCCTCCTTCTTGTCCTCCCCCTCCTCCTCCTCCTGTTCCTCCTCCTCCTCTCCTGCTCTCCTCCTGATCCTCCTCCTCCTCCTCCTCCCTCCTCCTCCTCCTCCTCCTCCTCCTCCCTCCTCCTCTCCTCTTCTCCCTCTTCTCCTCTTCTCCTCTCCTCCTCCTCCTCCTCCTCCTCCTCCTCCTCCTCATCCTCCTCCTCCTCCTACCTCCTCCTCCTCCCTCCTCCTCCTCCTCCTCCTCCTCCTCCTCCTCCTCCTCCTCCTCCTCCTCTACCTCCTCCTCCTCCGCCTCCTCCTCCGCCCCGGGGGGGGGGGACATCAGGGTCGGCGGTGGGCCCCGGATGGCGAAATCGACGTTCCTCGGCGCGGTGTGCCATCGGGCCCCTCTACCGGCGATTCGTGGGCGCTTGGGGGTCGAGGCTTCCCCCCTGAGCGTATCCCCCCTAACGTGGCCCCTGACCGAAGGAAGAGGCATGGATTGGAGGAAGCGCAGGAGTATGAACAGCACTGTTGCTGTCGCTGCCGCCACTGCCCCTGTCACTGGTTCTGGGACTGTTGCCGCTGCTGATTCTGCCGTCATTGCAACGATGATGTCCGTTTCGTCGTCGTCTTCGTCGTCGTAGACTTCGCCGTCATCGTCGTCGGCGGCGGCGGCGTCGGTAGCGTCGGCGTCGACGTTTGCGTCGGCGTCGTCGTCGTCGTGGTCGACTTCGTGGCTTTTCGCGCCACGGCCATTGTGTCCACCGCAGCCACTGCTACTGCCACTCTCAAATATACGGCGAGATATGAGCAGCGTATAGAATTTGTACTGTCTGTGAGAAAATGCAATCGCCCCAAGTTCGCAGCGTTGATGTCCTTGCCAATATCGAGATGATATGGAAACGTACGCGTTACAGTCGGTATCTGCACCATTCTGTGTTCACATATGTCTGAAGTTGTGCACTCGAGCGGAATAGAGAGAGGGTAAGAGAGAGTGATAGAGTATATTAGCAAAGAGTAGAGGAATCATGAAGAAATTGTGACAGCGGGTGCTATAACTGTGCCGTGGCAATAGAAAGCGGTCGATCATATGTTTATCTAGATGTCCACCCCTGGGTGGCAAGTATTACTGTCTAGATGTGGTGCTAGATGCCATCCCCCGATTGTGAAAATATCTACCAAAGTTAGGGCTGAAACGAAATCACCTGGCTGGAAATATGCCTGCGGGATGTCTATCTCGATGCCAACTCCGCCCGGGGCCAAAGGCGCCTATCTGGATATATTTTTATATATATATATATATACACATACAAGACTGCACTGGCGCTGCGCGCCATGCACCTTGGTCCTTGAGTTTCGCAAGCTAGCGGAGTGCGTGCGTGCGTACATGCGCGCGCATCTGCGCCCATACGTACACGTTGCCTTTGTGAATAGGAATGTACGCGTGCAAGGTATGTACACGTATACGCAAATCGTTTGCGCAGCCCTGGGCGCGCATGCACATGCGCATCTCGGTAGGTCTGCAAGAATGTCTCAGGCGAAGAAAGCGGGAACACTATGGAGCAATGCACTTCCGCAGTCGGAGTTGCGAGGAAATCCAAAGCGAAGCGGGTTCGACTACTGCTTCTTCCTCATCCTTTTCCCCTTGCTTCGTTTGCTAGCTGGGTGGTAATCGTTACTTCTCCTCCGCGCTCCTTTATCTGCTCCTCGTTCTATTTGTCCTCGTATTCTTCTGTGCCCGTTTCTTTTCCCCCCTTCCTCCTGCTTCTCCTCCTGTTTCTCCTCCTCAGTCCTGTGCCGATTGAGCTGAACCGGAAGAGCTGAAGAGGATGAGGAGAAGGAGGAGGATGAGGATGAAGACGAGGAAGAGGATGGGGACGACGACAACGACGACGACGAAGAAGGCGACGACAAAGAGAAGGGATAATGAGAGGGGGAGACCGCTGTGTTGGGATCTCGTGGTACGCCTCTCGGGGGCCTCTGGGAGGCAGTTTTGAAGCCTCTTGGGGGATGTTTGTGGGCCTCTTGGGATCTTTTGGGGGCCTCTGGGGGGCCTCTGGGGGGCTCCTTGGGGCCTCTGGGGAGCCTCTTGGGGCCTCATGGGGCCCTCTTGGGGCCTCTCGGGGCCCGCTCGCGGCGGAAAACTTAAGTTTTGAATTTTTGGGCGCCCTCTTGGGCCTCTCTTGGGGCCGTCTTGGTGCTCTCTTGGGCCGCCTTGGGCGCCTCTTGGGCGGTCTTGGAGCCCTCCTGGACCGTGTTGGGGCCTTCTTGGGGGCCTCTTGGGCAGTACTGGGGCGATCTAGGGAGCCTCTTGGGCCGTGTTGGAGCGTGGGGAAGCGGAAAAAGCGAGAAGGCCAAAAACATCGAAAAACACATAGGAAAATCAACCATGTTAGCCTCTCGGGGCTCTCTTGGGAGGCCTCTTGGGGGTCTCTTGGGGCGTCTTGGAGGCCTCTTGGGCAGTCTTGGGCCCATATTGGGCGTCTTGGGCCGATCTTTGGGTGTCTCGGAGCCCTCTTTGGCCGTCGTGGGGGCTTCTTTTTTCGCGTCGGACTCGCAGGACAGACCTGCCTGGGGGGTCCAGGAGGACCGGAGATCCACGGAAGCACTCTGCAGGAGCGCCCCAGAGGCTCGGGGAGGCCGAAATTCGTTTGGGGGGGGGGGGGCACCGTGTGCCGCTTTTCCGGGGTCCCCGGCCCTGTAAAAATATATAAATAGGAATATCTAGATGTCTATCCTAGTGCAAGAAATTTCCATCATATGTCCATCGATCTGCCTACGCGCCAAACATGTCGAACACATGGCCTTCTAGATGTCCATGCCCTGGTGGCAAAGATGTCTATCAGACATGTATCGTTGGGTCTGTTCTGCAGCGGCGATGATCATCATATGCACATGCGTACGTCTGTCCTACAATTGGAGATACCTGAAAATATACCCCTCGAGATATTTATCTGGACGCGTATCCCCAGGTGGAACGAGTTTTTATCAGATGGCGATCTCCGCCCTCGTGCTGGAAACATGCCTACCATATGTCCTTATAGTTATACATATCCTGGGGCAGCATCTGGATGTCGACACCCAGGCTGGTGTTATACAAATGTGAATTCACAAGGCTGAAACAAGTCACTCAGATGTCTATCTAGATGATGTCCGACCCTCTCGTGATAGAGCACTACCAGGTATGGATCCAGCCCCAATATAACCCTACTAGGGCTGGGTCCAACTCTGATGGAATCCTACTACGGCTGGATCCGACTCAAACGGATCATGTTCGGGGTGGATCCGGCTCAAATCAAATCCTACGAGGGCTCGGTCCAGCTCTTCGGGGACTTGGGGGTCCTCTTGGGGGCCTGCTGGCGGTCTCGTGGATCCTCTTAGGGTCTTGGGGCGGAAATCTCGGATTCTGAAATCGGGTTCCCCATCTTGCCTCTCTCTCTCTCTCGAGGCTCTCGTGGAATGCTCTTGGGCTGTCTTCGGCGCCTCTGGGCCCGTCTTCGGGCGCTGTTGGGCTGCCTTGGGGCCATCTTGGGGCCATCTTGGGGGCCTCTCGGCCCGTCTTGGGGCGAGCTTTGGGACCTCCTGGGGCGTCTTCACCGCCGCGAATCGCGAAAAGTCCAGCATGCCGAAAATGCATGTTTTTCAATCAGAAATGGGACGATGCTCGCCTCTGATGGCCTTCTTCTGGACCTCGTGGGGGCCGTCTGGGGGCCTTTTGGGGCCTCTGCTGGCCCAAACGGAGCTCTCTTGGAGTCGCTTGGGGGCCTGCTGGCGGTCTCTGGGGTCTTCGTGAGGCGGATATCTCAAATTATAAAATCAAATTCCCCATGCTAGCCCTCTCTTGGGGCCCTCTTGAGGCTCTCTTGGGCCATCTTGGGCGCCTCAAGGCCTTTCTTGGGACGCTCTTGGGTCGCATTTGGGCCGTCTTGGGGGCCTCTCGGCCCGTCTTGGGACGATCCTGGGGGCCTCGTGGGCTGTCGTGAACACTTTGAAATGCGACAAGTTTAACATGCTGAAATTGCACGCTTTTCTAAAGGAATGGGACGATGTTCGCTTATAGATTATTGGGGCAATCTTCTGGACCTCGTGAAGGACCATTTGGGGTTCTCTTTTTGGGGCCTCTTGGGGGTCGTCTGGCGGTCTCGAGGGTGCTCTTGAAGCGGAAACCTTTGAATCTGATATGGAATTCCCTATCTTGGCCATGTCTTGGGGCCCTCTTGGGGGGCCCAGGCACGGTCCCATGAGGGAGAGCCCCAAGACGGCCCAAGAGGCCCCAAATACGGCTCACGGGGGCTCCAAGAAGGCCCCCAAAGAATCCCAGAGGGGGAGCACGAACTGACATTCCCAACTCACCTCCCCAAGACCACCTCCGAGACAAGCCCCCAAGAAGCCCAACAGACTCTCCAGGAGGCCCCCAAGATGCCCAAATCAGGCGCTCAGAGACCCCCAGGAGGCCCCCAAACCACCCCAAAACCGAAGAGGCCTCTGATTGACAACCATGGCACGGTGGCAGAATGAGCCGACAGCCGCTAGAAAACCAATGCAGTGTACAGATGGAGGTAGTCTAGCTCCGCAAGCCCGCCTGAGTATTCGAAATCTTCTCAAGTCCTGCTCGCTCCTTCAACTCGTATGACTCTGCGAACTGTTCCCACTATTCTAGCACCCTGCCTATTTGTTTTTCTTTTTTACCGTGCTGCGATGCATTGAGTGGAATGCCATCAGGTTCACGTGGGCTCTCTGTTTTGATTATTGAAAATCCGCCGACCCTTCGGCGTGCGTGAGACGCTGTCGTCGTCGTCGTCGTCGCCAGTCCCAAGGAAATTCAAAAGCGAACAGATATTAGAAACGTCGTAGCCAATTCGATTCCCTCCCCTTTTTCCCCTCCCTGACGGGGGGGCGGGGCGTACAGGGGGGGGGGTGCTGGGCGGAGT